GGCGCCAGGGGGGCGGGGCGGGGGGTCGCCGGGCCGGGGAGGCCCTCTCGCCCGCCGCAGGGTGACGGTGACGCTGTAGCCATTCGTCCTCCAGTGCCCAGCAGAGTACCAGCCGCAGCCCTCGAAGCGGCGAAAGTTGAAGAGGAGGGCGAAGAATGCCCAACCAACATGCACGAACCAGTCGGTCTTCTTCTCGCCCGTCTCGCCCGTCTTCTTCTTCCCCCGCTTCCCCTCTGCGTCCACCTGGTACTCCTCCGCCTTTCTACGGAGGCAGGCCTCGATGGCCTGTTTCTTCCTGGCGGGGATGCCATGAACCTCCTCGAGATTGAGGAATTTCAGTGCCTGGGATTGGCAAGATGCGGGTGGGGTGGGTGTGAGCGACGAGGAGTCGGGGCCTCACACCTCTGCTGCACCACACGACCCCCAGACCCTGGATCCACGGAACATCGCGGGACGATCCTACAGTGTATTCCCGTCCCCCCCCCCCCCACCGACTGCAAAAGAAAAGGAGTGGCCTGTGCTCACAGTGTAGACTTACAAGACACCTCTGCACCACCCATACCCCTCCCTCCGCAACATGCGGTGCTGATCCTCACCTCGGGCACGGTATACATTCTCCACTCCTTCTCGGTGGAAAGCTGCAGCCTCGTCATCCTCGCCACGCCGCCCTTGTTGCGCTTCTCATGCCGCCGCAAGAGGGCTCCCAACGTCGTCAGGGTGCCAGTGATGTGCACCGCCTCGAAGCTCTGTCTGCAGGGCAGGAGGCTGAACAGCCGCCCGATGTGCCGCTCCTGCACGGGCTGCTGAGGCCCCTTGGCGGGGCCGCCGGCGGCGTTCGCCGCGGCCTCCTTGCGCTTGGCCAGCGCCGCGCGCCGTTGCTTGCCCAGGCCCCGCCGCTTGCTGGGGATGCCGGCGCCCTTGTTGGCCGCGTGCTGCTTCGCACGCTCCTCAACCTTGCGCTTGAGCTCTGTGGCGGCGGCGGCTGCGGCTGCGGCTGCTGCGGCGGCTGACGCTGCAGTGTCACCGACCTGTGCATGTAGGTAGGATCTGGGGCTGGTGAATACATGTGTAGCTGTGCTACCCATCTGTCAAACCCCTGGCCGCCCCCTCTAGGGGGCGAGAAAGTACTCGTGTCAAACCACTGCCAATGTTCATACACTCGCGCATTCCCGGTCGTCCCTCACCACTCACATCTGGGCAATTTGCGTCGTGCTGCGTCGCCTCCTCGCCCGCCTGCCCTTGTGGCGCATCCCCGGGCGTCTGCGCGGGAGCTGGCGCGGCCGGCTGTCGCCTTTCGCGCTCCGCGAGGAGTCGCCTGGCCAGCGGCAGGCAGAGGTGCGGATGATGTTCCCACAGACCCCACTTTGGCCTCTTCGGCATGCGCCGGCGGAGTTCGACGATCCAGTCCACCTGCTCCTGCGTGAATGGCACATGCCACCACGCAGCCGCCCTGCCCGAGGGGGGTGGAGGTGCTGCGCCGCTGTCAGTGACCGAGGCTGGGGGCGGCTGGTCGGGCGCGGCGGCCGGGGCTGGCGATGGCGCTGCGGAGACGCCGGGGCCCAGGACTGGGGTAGGCTGGATGGGAGTGGCGGCTGGGGATGGCGCTGCGGAGACGGTGGGGCCCAGGACTGAGGGTGGCTGGTTGGGCGCGGCGGCCGGGGCTGGCGCTGCGGAGACGCCGGGGCCCGGGGCTGGGGG